TCCGACGTTTCCAACTTTCCCGCAGTGATCCAACGGTGATACGAAGGCGATATGACGACAATCCGGTGATTCCGACGGTTGTCCAGTGGTTTCAATGGTGGTCTAGATAAGAAGAAAGTGACAACTAGTATATCGCTGGAGAGGTTGGGGTGGGGTTAGGTAGGTTGTGTATAATATCTTTAAATTTCCAACATTTGAAATTTGTACCTAAGAATTGTTCTCATTTGAATATATATATATATATATATATATATATATATATATATATATATATATATATATATATATATATATATATATATATAGGCTTAGGTTATTTTGTTTCTACTAACTATTGTGTGCCAGAATGCACAGATTTGGACCATCGGATGGAATATAATCAAAGGTCATGATCTAATGGTCTATGATATTACAATGGGATAGCATGTACCATATAATTACATAAATTTTAGCAAAACGGTATTTTGGACAATTAACTACAATTATAAAAGGAAATTTTCGGATTTTTAGGGATAATTAATTCTCCTAATTTAAAATTTTTGAATTTTTTTTAACTAATTCAATTTTAATTCTAATGTAATTTGTAAAAATAATCGATTTTATTCTGTCAGAATACTTTTTTGTTAGAATGATGTTCTTTCATAATTTTATTCTATTAGAATATTATTGAAAAATAACAAAATTATTGAATCCGAGGTTGAAAAATAACAACATTCTAATATATTCTTATACATCGAACTTAAATACAAATTCATAAATATTCTTACAACCTAAAAGCCTTATACATTTTAATATAATTATACATATTCTAAAAAGAATATCAACAAAAATGAATAAAATTCTTAAAAAATAACAACATTCTGCTAGAATACTCTCGTTCTCCTTGTTTTCTTCATTTTCCACATCAATGGCAGCCCCTTCAAAACCTAAATAAATAAATAAAAAAAAACATGATCAACTTTAAAATATTATAACTTTCAGTATATTCTAAAAGAATAAACTATAAATTCTAATAGAATGTGTTAGACATTAAAGACTTTTAATTTATTTTAACATAAAGGAATACTCAAGTCACTTGATCAAGTATTCCTCGAATCATGAAATCATATTATGAGAATAATTGTCATGATATCATATTCTGTCAAAATAAGTGACATATCGAGAGAAACATCTATTACAAGAAAAGCAAAAAAAAAACAAATTCTAATCGAATCATATAATCTAAAGTGCAATTACCATTTAATTCTAACAGAATATATATGAAATGAAATACCGACCATCTCCATGGCTGTCAAGAAATGTAATTCCTTCCAGATGCCCCATCAGGATTCCAACAGGTTTTCCTTTTGATCTCAAGCATCTTCTGTCCCAAACCTATATATAAATAAAATCCATCTTATATCACTATTTCCCCATCCATTTATAAAAAAAATTAAAAAAAGGATTTCCAACTACAAACAACTGTTTCTTATTACCTTACACAAATTGTCGTCACTCCCAGAATATATTAGATGGCTGGCTTCATCAGCAAAGCACACATTGTTTACATCTGACTGCATCATGTAACAACATATGTTACTCTAATAAATAATCTAACCAATTCATAACAAATCAATCAAGATCCACAACAAGTCGTCCATGAGCAAGTATTTAGGTTTTACTAAATAAATAAATCACATTCACTTCAGCCAAAAACGATATGCACTCTCAACCAACAACCTGATTGTAAAATCAAGATTAATTATTTCTAAAATAGGTATACTATTACCGTATGTGCTTGGATTCTAAGGGAAAGTCTGTTTGCTTCAACATCATAAACATAGATTGAATCATCAATACTTCCAGCTACAAGTTCTCTGCCATCAAAGAATGGTGTCTCAAATTTCTGAAAAAATTAAAAATTTACAACAACCCAACTAAAAAAATTTAATCAAAGATCAATAAAGTTCATGTAAACTTATCAGCGTCTCCTCGTTAACTGGTGATTCAAGAACAGATTGAGTAACCCCAAGTTTCTTGATATTTCGCACAAATAAGAAAGGGGAAGGGTTTCCTCATTGATTGATACTTCTAGTCAATCAGCCCCTGCTGCCCTCGCTTCATCCTCCAAACACCGAGAGGCAGCAATTTCTCTTCCCAATGAAAGACAAGAGGCGACGACCTCTTGTGTTGCTCGCTCCTCCTCGCGAATTCAGCCACTGGACCATTGATCGACCTTGCGGTCGTTCTCAACCGTGGTCCTCCTTCTCGATCAGAATGCACATATCGAAGTCCTTTTCCCCCAATGATTCTGCCTTATGCTTTCCTTCGTGTATCTTTCATCGCCTCGTTGTGTGCCTTTTCCCTTTTCCCGATCAAACAAAAACCAGGTTGGAAAAAGCCCTAAAATTCTGATTGGTTGGGGGAATAAGCCACAATCGATTTCAATGGGGTTTGACATTAGTCGACGATGGGAGCACAGTGGGCTAGGTTTATAAGAGGGAGATGACGAATAAAGAGAGAGAGAGACTAGGTCAAATATATTTATTTTATTTCCTTAATTATAGGATTTCAATTAAATGATTCTTTAATTAAAAGTACAAAAGGTCCAAAATACCCTTAAATGATTTATTTAATTATTTATTATTTCTTGAATTCTCATTGGTGTATTTAGGAACACAATAGTTGCTAGGAACATTTGAACCTCTCTCTCTCTCTCTGTATATATATATATATATATATATATATATATATATATATATATATATATATATATATAAAGGTTTAGGTTCATTTGAGACCATGTTAATTTTGTGAGACCATGAGACGCAATCTAAAAATAATTTTAAAATGCAAAATAAAAGGAAAAATCCGAATTTTTTTTAAATTATTATTTCGTCATTTTCTTTACCTAAAAAAATAAAAAAATAATAAAAAAAAAGTAAAAAAAAAATTACCGTTTTTTTAAATATACGTGAAATATTCTATTAGAATATTATACTGTAATATTCCAATGTGATTTTTAAAATGTTAGAATATTCTAGTATTCTAGTAGATTTGTTAAATATATAAAATATTCTAATATTTTACTAGAATATTCTAATATTCTACTAGATTATTTCACAGATATTTCAAAACAACGGTAATTTTTTTTTATTTTTATTTTGTATAAAAAGAGTGACAAAAATAAAATTTTAAAATTTTTTTTCGAAAATTTTCAATTAATTTGCATTTTAATTTATTTTTATTTACAAAATGAGTGGTTAGAATTGCGTCTCCCAACTCAAAAAATATAGTAGTTTCACGTATATAATAGTTTCACATGAACCTAACAAAAAAAAAAAAATATATATATATATATATATATATATATAATATATATATATATATATATATATATATATATATATATATCTATATATATATATATATATATATATATATATATAGACTCAAGATCAAATAAGAAGGAAATATTTGGTAGGAAGGTAAGAAGTTTTTTTGTACATATTTTTTTCGCGAACAAACAAAATGAATCATTAGATGATTCAATTGTAAGATGATTCACAAGAAAAATTTTTCAAAAAAACATCTCGATGATTCATTTATACAATGATTTTGTTCTTATTCACTAAAATTGTCATAAAAGTGAATTTTTTCTGAATTTACTTAAAAATGAATCGTAAAGATGTTTTTTTGGGAATTTTTTCTTGTGAATCATCTTACAAATGAATCATGTAGTGATTCATTTATTTTGTTCGTCAAAAAAATATATAGAAAAAACTTCTTACCTTCCTATCGAAAATTTCCATATTACCGGATCTATATCCTATATATATATATATATATCTATATATATATATATATATATATATATATATATATATATATATATATATATATATATATAAAGCAAGGCGAATTTCATGGTATAATATTAGATATTAGATAAAATATATATTGTAGATACACAATAGACACGCCTTTATACATTGAGGTACAGTAAGGGCAGATGGACTTTAATTCGAGACGACAAAAAAAAAAAAAGTGAAAAGCATGCCTCTTTTTCATACTTACGAAGAATTTGATTTTTTTATTAAACGGGTGCTTAAAATTTAGAAATTATTATCACTAAGTTAGTATAAATTGAGATCTCGACAAAACATCTATTAAGTTGGTTAGCGTACCAAATCTTGATACGAATCAAAGACCCACAAAGATTTTGAAAACCTAAAAATTGATGTTAAAAAACACAAAATAGAATAAGAGTTTACAAGGTGGTTGGAGTGGCAAAAGGAGATTGTTAAAGAGCACAAGTCATACAAAAACTTTCCCTAAGGACATTTACAATGGGAGTTTTACGAGAGTTTAATAGAATAAATGTAAATATAATATAGAGGAGAGAGAGAGTGTCCAGTTGAGTGAGTGCAATAGAATAGTAACTAAAATTTATGAATTTTTTAAGAATTAAAATGAATATATACATTGTCGTTCATACTTGACATTCCATACAACTCTTAATGAGTTTAATCTATTGGAGATGGCCTAAGGTGGGCAAAACAAACAGAGTTCAGATGCACTGGTCTTTTGATATCGATTCTGAATTAGATACGCATCAAAACCAAGATTCTTAAAACTTTGTAATGGAACCGTCATGGTACGGCTCAAGACTTGTATTTGCCGTCAAATTTCAACAAAATGTCGACTTAAGTCATATGTGTTTATAAAAATGAAAAATAGTAGAAAATATATATAAAATTATTAATTATTAATTATATATAAAATTGTCGCCTTAAGTCACGCCTTACAAACGATGTCGTTAGCCACAGACTGAAAAACTTAAGGTTTGATATTGCGGTAAAGTCACGCCTAACATTATTTAGAACTGATGAATACATTCAGATTTATTTTCCTTTGAAAAACGTAAAAGCATAGAAATAACTGATATACATGTGGTTAAAGATAGTAGATAGGAATCAAAACACAACTAAATTAAAATTTACAGACATACTCTACACTGACTAGTTCCCCTCAGTCCCCCCTCCTTGAATATCTGGAAGCTGATGAAATACACGAGCACAGCTATACACTGAACAGAAAGCTTGCAGTCCCGTCAATAAAAGCATAAACAAAGCAGCCAACACTGTGAGAAACTTCCATGATCCAAACACATATTTATTAAAGAAATTAGCCATTTTCACCCTCCATGTTCTACCATACCTCTTGTTCACATCTTCAATCACTTTATCCATCTTTGCCACTTTCGTCAACTTCACAGATTTGCTCATCCCGTTCCACAGATCTGCAACTTCCTTATCACTCTTCAAATGGTTCAAAACTATTCCTCTCTCTCGCAAATACTTCGCGTCTTCTTCAGTATCGATTATTCCGTTCATTAGCTCTGTGTATCGTGACACCACCAATGGCCCTGCTGCAACACAAGCTTCGTATGCTACTAAGTTTCTCAGATAAACTTCTGAGTTTACGTCAAGATCGACTACTGGGAGGTAGAGTGTAGATGTTATATTATCGAAACTAATGTCCAAAATTCCGCCATTAACGGGTGAGAAAATGATCCCTGCATTGGCCATTTCGGTGACTGATGGGATGGTGATTTCCTCGATGGTTGGTACCTTCGATTCGCCACCGTCGTCTTCTGAATTCTCCTCTCCTTTACCCTGAAACTTCACCAGCATTCGCTCCATGGGTTCTTTCATGAGTTTGAGTATGGGAAGATTTGATAAGATCTTCCATGGTAATTTCATTAGGAGAGCCATTGGTCTTCCGAAAATGAGTTTCTTGAAAAAGTTCACGAGCCCTGCGTTGGATTTCGAGAGGAGGTTCCATATATAACTCATGACCCGATGAAGATCAGTTTCCTTTGCAAAAGTTTCTTCTTTATCTTCATCGTTGACTTCAGTGATAGCTTCTTCTTCGATGTCAATCTCAGCCTCCATGATCCCGAGCTCTTTGTTGTTTGGCACTGTCATGTGGTACAAAAAGTCTAGCAGGTGATCACAGTCGTTGATGTCAACATCTGGCAACTCCTTTTCTTGAAACGGAGAAAGCTCATGGTACAAACCAATCAGCATCGACTTCAACGTCTCTTCAGGTGACTTTTCATGATTAGCTTTCTTGGACTGATGCTCCAGCATCGTCTTCATCAGAAACAATGGGATCTGGTTCTCCACCATCACCAAATCACGAAGAATCGCCATGTGTGATAGCTTCTTCCCGGAGGCATCGACCAAATGGGACATCGAAGAAGTAACTTTCTTGAGTACCCGTCCTTCTTCTTTCATGGAATACACCTGAAGGAATTCCAGTAAAAACGCCATGTCAACAGCCATCATCCAGATCAGTGCGTCTCCTGACATATCAAGAAACTTATGGTAGCAAGCACGGATTCGAGGCTCATCGTTTTTCTTCATTATCTCCACGATACGTTCGAAGCTAACGTTCATACCTTTCTGGGTTCTTCGTGCCGCAGCAAGCTTGTACCTTTGCATGTCATAGACCTCCTCGCGCCAATGGTGGAAGGGACCTAACGCGATTTGCTGCGGGATGTAGGATTCAGGATCGGTGGCTAGAAGTACTTGAGGGACTGTGAATATACAAACTGGAACTTTGTCGATCTCTTCCTCATGTTCTAAGATCGATTTACGCATGCTTTCCACCCATTCGTGTTCATTAATATTCATCTTCTTGAAAGAGTATGAACTGGTGGTGCTGGACAAGGTTTTGGCGGCCATGGCGTTGGAGATAAAGTATATTCTTCAATGCATTTTCGTCCGGAGACAACGGATATGACTCTTATAGACGGTATCATGATTGACTAGTTCACATAGTGTTGATCTGTTTACATATTATTTTAGCTTATTTAATTCTTTTAATCACGTTTCAAGAAAATAATTTCGAAGAAAAACAACGTACTTGTTGTCGATAAACATGGACAACTGTAATATGAAGAAAAAATGGATTTAATAATATTTCGATGAATATATGTGAATTGTGATGAAGCATGTTACCGTGTGACTTGAATCTAGTTATTCTTTTATTCCTTTTATCATATCGAATTGTCTTGGTTAATTAGCTAGATAAGATACCATTAATTTTTATTTGTTTTTTCCATAATCGAGATTTTTATATTCCTTTCTTTATCACATAAAACATTTTTTTCCCACATACCTTTTTACTATATGAAAATAAATAATTCGAATATAAAACCGAATTTTAAAAGCATTTTGAACTCGTTTCTTGTCTTAATATTCTTCCAAAGACGATAAAAATAATAAAGTTCACTTATGGTTTATCATGAAGATGAAATTCAAAGTTCAGGTTAATAGGATCTAATTATATACTAATCTTGAAGGTTTTAATATGTGCTCAAATTTATGTGATATATGGAAGTGAATAAACAAAAGAACTCAAGCTATAAGACTTAAAGTAATACTCTTATAAGATGAAAGAAAGTTGAAATTTTGTTATCATACCAAAGCTTGGAAACTACTCATATATATAGCGTAACTTTGTAATTATTAAAAAGGCAAAAGATTCCGCATAAACGCTGTATAAATGTAAAAATACAGAACATATCCGAAAAAAATTGGGAAATTGTTAGTATGATATCTAGGACGTGTTTGGCAAAAGTAGCTATTAGCTGGAAGCGGGTAGCGAATAGGTGGTAGCGGGTAGCGGATATCGGGTAGCGGGTAGCGGGAAGCTGTAACTTCTATTTGTTATATGAATATTTGGCAAAAGTAGCTGAAAGCTTGTGAAAATGAATAAAATTACATAAAATGACAATTGATTAAAAATAAATAAATATATAAACATATTTTGAAGGGTAATTATGGAAATTGATTTCGAAAGCTCAGTAGCGTTTTGTTAAACGCTACATGAAGTATCTTTTAGATTTGGAGCGTTTTGTTTAAACTAAAAGTTAAACGCTCGTACTACCAAACGAAGTTTTTTGTTTAAACTAGAGGGTTTTGTCAAAAGCTAAAAGCTAGAAGCTCTCAAACGCTTCCAAAAGCTCTGTACCAAACACGCGCTAATAAAAAGGACTATGGTGATATCTTCATATCCGGATAGAAGAGCTTAATGGAAAATGGGAGAATACAAAAGGGCTTGTCGTTTCAAAAAAAAAAATGTAATGCAAATCTTTTTTACTCAAAAAAGTTATCCGGAAATTTAAAGAAGCGTTCGACTTAATGAAGTATCCATAATTATATTACATTCTTCTAACCAAACTCAATCTATAACACTCCGAGCATACTTCTTATTTCGCCATGCTTCACATGTGCTAAGGCTTTTGTAAAAATGTTTGTTAGTTGATCCTTAGAGTTGACATATTCCACTTCAATTTGTCATTGCTCAACACACTCCCTTATGAAGTGAAATTGGATGTCAATATGTTTGTTTCGATCATGAAACCCGATATTTTTCATCAAGGAAATTGCCGACTTGTTATCGAATTGAATTACAAAGTGATAGGCTTGATGTTATGTCCTGTAAGCTCCTTAAAGAGATTCTCAAGTCAAATGGCTTGACATGGTGCCGTTGTGGCTGCCATAAACCCGATTTTACATATAGAAAAAACAACAATCTTTTGCTTTTGAGATTGTCATGTGACCACATTTCTTCCAACGTAGAAACTCATTCATTTGTACTCTTGCTACTAACCGTGTCACCTCCAAGATCACTATTGCTAAACCTAAGCATGTCTTTAATTTCATGACCCTTTGCATAGTCGACACATAATTAACGGTTCCTTGATATACCGTAAAATATCCTTTACTACTTGGAAATTCCAAGTGGTCAGTTCCTCCATAAAAGGGTTTCAATTCCAACCGAAATGAAATGTTCTGAGTGTGATTCGGTTACCTCATACACTCCACCACTCACCTACATTAAGTTATGTTGACTTTTGACCATTTTCATCATTTTTGACCGTCACCTTCGGTTCCATTAGTGAAGTTGTCAGGTTGCAATCTAGAAACCCGAATTACATAAGTTGTTTGTAGGAAAGATATTCCTCACTACTTTTGCGACACTTCAATTCCAATGTAGTAAGAAAGTAAACCCAAGTCACTCATTTTAAATTCCCTTTTCATTTGTTCCTTGAATTCGACAATGTATTTGGTGTTCGATCCGGTAATGATTAAGTAGGAATGGCAACGGGGCGCGACATGGTTTCCTAAACCCGCCCCGATATCTTTCTGGTATCTTATCGGGGTGCCCCATAGGGTTTTGGATTTTCCCGTCAGGTTCCGGGTATCTGATCGGGTTTACAACAATTCATAACGAAATCTTTATTTCGTTTTAGGATACCCCGATGTCTGATAAAAATATAACAAAAACTTAAATTATTAAAAAAATACATGTTGTAGCCTCCGTTTTTTATTAAAAATATGATACATCACTTTAATAAAATAAACCAGACGTTATATTAAAAATGATTTGATTTAAGTTTAGTATAATATGTCAAAACATAAAAAAAGATCATTACACCTTACTGGCATATTGTTAATAATTAAAATGATTGTCCACAGTAAATATTGTATCTTTGAATGCATACTACTAATATTCAAAAGATTCGAACACACACACACACACACACACACACATATATATATATATATATATATATATATATATATATATATATATATATATATATATATATATAATCGGGACCGGGCGAGTCAGTGCGAGGATAACCCATTCACTACCCCGAACCCGATAATGACCCGTTACCCGACCCGAAATGCTTGGGTTTCGGGTTTTTTTGCCATCCCTATGATTAAGTCGTCAACATAGACACCAACAGTAAGAATTTTACAAATTTAGTTCCTTTTGTAGATTGTCATGTGTTGTGCAAATTTCGAAAAACCAAGTCCTTTTAATCTTTTATCAAAACGAACGTTCTAAGCTCAAGAAGCTTGTTAAAGGCCATAAATAACTTTAAAGAACTTGAACACCTTGTGATTATGTAATATATCAAAATATCCTTCTAGTTGGGTGATATAGACATCCTCTTCAAGATATATTATAAGAAAATATACCTTGACATCAAGATGGTAAGTACAACTTACCCACGATAAGCCACTAATGCAAGAACGAGCCTTGCGGTGTCAAGTCGTACCACCGATGAAAAAACTTCATCAAAGTCGACTCCACATTTTTGCATAAAATCTATTAGGACGTGTCGATCTGTATGTTTCATCATTTTTTCCAATTTGTCTTTCTTCACTTTAAAGACTCATTTCAATATGAGTGTTTTCTATTTGGGTAGAAAATCGGTAAGTTGTCATGTCTTGTTTTTATGGATTGTATCAAACTTCGTTTGTATGGCATCCTACCACGTTATAAAGGTTCCCATATCTTTAAAATTCAAGGTTTGATTTTCTACAATCATCAACAATTTCAGGTTCAAGGAACACATTTTTCGGCTTCGACATAGATTTCAGCTAGTTATCGGAGCCCCTTGGGTCCAACAATGCTTGAAGGGCTTTCCAAGGGTTGAAGTGGAAGAAATATGAGTTGAAACAACGGTATCTAGGGTTGTTTCTTGCTGAAAAGATGAAAAATAAGGTTGTTCTGTTTGGACAACATCAATTCTAGGGTTGTCCGAATGTTTTTGGGTAAACTCTAAGGTTGTCCGAAAGTTTTTGGGTAAACTTTGAGGTTGTCCGGATGGTCCGATTTGATATAAGGGTTATCTGTATCGATTATTGTGAAGGCTTGAGGAGTCGTATTCTCTTCTTCCTTGTTTTTGTTCTAATTACTTCCTAGTTTGTTTACTAATTACTTCCATCTTTTTCAACAAAAATAACATTGCGGCTTACTTGCACTTTCCGGTGTGCCAGATCAAATAATTGATTCCTTTTAGTTCCATCTTATATCCCAAAATACACCAATTTTTTGCTTCAGTCTTCCATTTTCTTCAAACGAACACCTACAATTTTGGAAAAATCAACACAAATAAAAACCTTTAAATATTGAAGATTTGTTTTTTTGCCAAGTTAACCTAGCTTCATACGGTGTGATTTCATGAATCGTTTTTATATGTACTAAGTTGAAAAGATAAATTGTATGTAACAGTTTCTCTTCAAAATTCCCACAATACATTTCTTCCTTTAAGAAGACGCATTGTCATGTATGGATGATCTTTTTAACCGAAAAACTGAGCTGGAACCGGAACCGAAACCGGTTGGAACTTGTTGGTGGTATTCAGTCCGGTTCTCAGTTCTCGGTTTACGGCTTATTTGGTTTTTGGTTTTTCGTTTCCTACGCAGTTCGGGACGGTTTTGATTCCAAACACATTCTTAGATAGCACATTTATTAGTAGAACCGAACCGAACCGGTTAGTGGTATTTGGTTCGGTTTTTTATTCTAATTTTACGACTTATTTGGTTTTTCTGTTTTTTGTTTTTTGATTTCAGACCGGGTTACACGTCTATCACTACAAGAAAAACGCGATTTTGCTACAGAAGGAATCCGTTGCGAAAACTTGAAATTCCGTTGCAAAAGACGAATAGCGACGGAATTTGCAACAACTATTTCCGTCCCTAAAAACGCTGTAGCGAGGGGTTTGCAACAGAAACGATAATTCCGTAGCAATTGTGACAACGAAATGAAATCCGTGGTAGATGGTATTCCGTCGTGTATTCCGTAGTAGGTTTCCATCACAAATTCTGTGGTAGTTCTTCCGTCACAAATTCCGTTGTAGTTAATCCCTAGCAAAATC